TAAAGTAGTATTAATAGCCTTAGGAATGACTAAGCGAACACAAAGATAATGCAGAATGGCAAAGGTTTGTCGTTCGCGTGAGTGTATGTTTGTGAAGATTTATTTATCATCTTTGTTCTTCAGATTAAGCGTAGTATAGCAGAGCAGCGTTTTTATATGTTGTTGCTCAGATAAATAGCTGAAAAATGTATTGCTTACAAAAATTTTGAAAGTTTTTTATATTGAAAAGCTTCTTCAGCGATATATGATGTCCACCTTCTCGCTTCATTTTCGAAGAAGATTGTAACGTGCCATATCCATTTTGAAACAATCATTTCAATCATTGCAAGTTTTTGGTAGTAATGTCCCATAAGTGTGTGATTTGTTGACGACTGAGGCTTTGCCGCTGGCAAAACTTTATCAATCTGATTATTTAATTAAAACGATAGCTCGCAATTCGGATAGTTTTCTCATGCAGAACCGTATTTTATTCTGGCATTGAATTAAGAAAAAGTTTCTGGATATCAGAAGTCAATTCCCTTCAGAAAATTGCGCAAAAGATCTTCTAGCTTTTAGATGCATTGAACCTATGATTCAGCTTCAAAATGCTTAATTAAACAATCAATTTTATCTACCTAAAGACTCAAAGAGTGAAAAAAATCGAAATGGAAAAGCAAGACAATAGGAAAATCATCATTAAATGAGTATTAATTTTATATATCTTTGTAAGATCAAAATTAACGAAGCATGCTGATTTTGATTAATACTCTGTTACGGCTGAATATTTACATATCTACCTGACTCTCAATTGCGCCGGCTTCAACCTTTTTATTTCCATGACTGAACAATGTAGCCTACGAAATCCATTTTTTGTGTTATAGTAGCTGCAAAAAAACATTATTTATTAGTCAGGCGGTGGACCTTATGCACCGTGACCTTATGTCACACTTTGATACTAAAGTTGAGGTGCAAAAAATCAACTCTTTTAAAGCTGACCTCTATGCTTATCTTGGCAATTTATGGTGTCGATTACTGTGAAGACAAATTGCTTTCTTTAGACTACTAAAAACCTTGAACTACGTTTTTCCCTTGTACGATTTCTTACTGCTCCGTTGCAAATTTCGAACTGCACTTTGTAACAACCCCAACACATTTTCTCAACGAGAATGTCTGTAATTTGTTTCGTCCATATGGTCCGTCCGGCCGCGATCCCCAATTTTCCCAACTTCCAATTGTTGCCGAAAACTTCTTCTGTGCGCTATTTGAGAGAACCAACCACCACCATTAATCCGTAAAACGTAACAACTCTGCCATTTTTCCCCTTTGACGATTTTTCTAGATACAGACACGTGCTCATTAGACGAGATCACATCGGGGGAAAAACCATACACAAACTGGCTCCGTGACGGCTAGCTTTGTTTGAGAGGTATTGATCCAAAAAGCTAGGGTTATAGAAGGTTCGAGCCATCAAAATAGTTTTAATTCAAAATTTCACAGAAAGTACAATGAATCAGATAAACAACGGTTCAAACAGGCAGGCAGAGAGAAAGGGAGAGGAACAAAGTGCAGCTTTTGAACAATTCGTGTTAGTCATCGCTTGACGCGATTACAATGCAGCAATAATGGAATTATTTGTTTTCTTAAAGCATCATTAGTTTATGAAGAAGCTT